AGGAATGCTATTCCTAAGCCCTGTCAAATGATCATCCAGCCTTCTCTTGAAAACTTCCAAAGAAGGAGAGTCTATAGCTTTGCTGGGCAGTCTATTTCAAGTTATTGCCCTAGGAACTCTCTAACTAAAAAACTCTAAAAGTCAAGTAAAAAGTAGACTATAGCTTATTCATTGAATGAAAAGCCAAATTTGAAAAAAATCCTAAATGCAGGAACACTTTCTCTAGAGAAAGCATTGGACAGAAGTCCATTGCAAGGTGTCATTCACAGGATGGCCACCCAACCTCTTGGCATCAAAAAAGAGAGGCAACTAAGCATTAATGGAGAAAAATGAATTAATATTGTGAGGAAGCAAAAAACTAAAACATATAATTTAAGCAATAGATGTCTATATATGAGAAGGCAGAAAATGTCAGTTAACTCAACGTAATGCATTAAGACATTAAAAATTTGACACTAAATTGAAAGACTGAAGAATGTAACCCTGTGTAAAATGGGGAAACAGTTCATTCTGAAAATTTTTCAAAAGATCTATGTGGAGTAATTCAATCTGTTCTGTCTGCTGAAAATACACGTCAGTCAAAATAGTGCAAGAAGAATTTCTTACCTTAGATGCCAAAAAAGCACCTGCCCTATCCTTCTATTAGCAAGTGCTCTCTCTAGTAGGAATCGAGAGAGGGCACAATCAAGAAAAGGTTCATACTTCAGAACTTGTACGAGCTGAAGAAGATACTGAGAAAGCTCTTCATCGCTGGAAAGAGATACAAACTCTGGTAAACAGCTGAGTAACTATATTAATCAATTCTGAAGAATTCAAGATAAATCCGTAACTGTGGCAAGGGCTAACATCGAACATAAGAAGTTAAACTCTTTCAGCCAAATTGAGAAGAAAGAGAAAGCATGTAGACTAACTGTAAAAAACTGCCCGAGGGAGTTCCAGAATACCGTTAATAATGACAGCCACCAATACCCTTGGAAAAGAAACTAACATAAAAATTTTAGGTTCATGATTTTACCCTGGGCATTCTAACCCAATTAGTCAGATGAACTGCAAGATCCTTGGTCCTTCTGCATGTTACTTTGTACCACTCAGCCTCTGATGATAGACCTATGGCACCAGCTTATGGTTACCTCTATCCTCTCATTTTGTAGAAGGGGCAGAATGGTTCTAGATGTTTTAGTCAGCCAAGAGGAACGTAAGTGATTCCATATCTGAGGAGGTGAATTTTTGTTAGTTTATTCTGGAAATCAGTGTAAGAGGAACAGGGACTAAATTGGCCAACCTATATCCTTTGCTTTAGAAAAAAAGTTTGATTCTTGGCAGCCACAGGCTAAGGGAATCTAGTAAGTGTAGATCTGCCATATTCAAGGAGCTGATGATCCATGATCATCTAAACTCTGGACCACAGGAAGAGCCCCAAAGGCAAGCAAAGGGTTTAAAACACCCCTGCAAGACCTATGAATTCTGCCATCCCCTCTGTCAGGCTCTACCTGCTCTGAATTTAAATGGCCATTTAAGATGTATACATCCGCAGCATCTAAGGGCTGAATTTACATTTCAGCCTATAGCTGTTTGGTATTCTATAGCAAGGTGTATTTTTCCTTTTAAAACCCTATATTTTCATAGTTATACCATCACAAAACAATGTCTACATAATGAGTTTTTAGTACTAAAGCAAAAGAAGTGAAAAAATTGTCAGCCTATGTTATATAAATAAATTCCTTAAATTATTTTAAGTAACGATCTATTAAATGGAGACAACTTGACATATTTAAATAAATCCCGAAAATATTCAAATTCCAGAAGCCAAGAATTATTTAAATAACTCATCCACAAAAACTTGCAAATAACCTTTCAACCTGCTTTTTTATTGGTTAATTGCCCTTTAACCTATCTTCTGACATTATGTTAGAAATGTACTCTCATTCAATAATAGCACACCAATTTCCAGGAAACCCAAACTACTTTCAGAAGATGTAACATCTCCCATTTTATTGGGGATTTTATTGCTTCACTATTTAATCAGATCCAAAATTATGTTTCCCCTTTAGTCATCACGGAGGGAGAAAAAAGCTCATCTTGGATTCAAGTAGGTCCCAAGTAGGTGGAGGCTCAGCTCTTGTTTTGCGTCAGGACTGGAGCTGAGCTACTGCCTGCCTCAGCTGGAATGGTTCGTTTGGGAGGGAAGCAGGAGGGGCCATGTAACCAGGGGAGCATGGGGAAGACCTGCTATATTTCCCCTGACCTCTCACACCCTTGTACATGTGCCAACCCCATCCCCCATCTGCTCTTCCTGTAGCCTGCCCCTTCTACCCCTTGGTCCCTAACCTAGCTGTCCCCTGCTCCCTTATCCTGTGCTCCTTGGTCCCTCCAGTCCCAACCTGGAACAGCCAGGAGCTGCCACTGGGCCAGAGTCAGGCTGGGACTGCACTGCTGTTGACTGCCTTGAAAGGAGCAGAGCTGCAGTGGAGGATAAGGGAAGTGGTTGGGGAGGCAGCCTGCAGGAGGTCAGGCACAGGGGGCAAGGGGTAGGAGGCAGATATAGGTGTGGCAGGACAAGGAACAGGAGAGCAAGGGGCAGGGGTCTGGGCACTTTCTTCACCCCCCCCCCCGCTTTCCTTGCTACAGCAGTGAAGGGGGGGTAATTAAGATGACATTCCACTAACTGGATTCTATACATGGAAAATTATAACACATTTATAATTTTCCATGTATATAATCTAATTATTGTGGGGCCATCTTAAATTCAAAGTTGCCTTAAATTGATAAATACAGTATATTGGGACATATCTGAATTATCCCTAATCTTTTTAAAGTAACTTTAACATTTGCAAACTGCCTGCAGAAGATTTTCTTTTCTCAAAATAAACATAAAGGTCAAAATCAAAGTTTTAATCATTATAAAAGAATCGAAGCAGCTGGTGGCATGTTTGTGTGTGGTGAAAAAGTTTAGGAATTAGGAGAGAAGTACCAAAATCTGCTGTAGCATAAGAGAGAGCAATTATTTGATGTACAATTTATTTCTGTAACAATATTTTTCTGTTACTTGGTGGGGCACTAACCATCATTTGGATTAAGTTTTCTTTATATTTTGCTGTCTTCTATCAGGCTGTGAAAGTCAGAAACTGAGTTTTAATATTTTGTTAAAGGCAATTTTGCATTGGAAACATAACTAAGAATAATTTTTCCAGATGTACCAATTTACATTATTAGGTTAGCCAGGGTTAACAGAGCAATTACTTGTTTACATTTGAAAGAAGTCAAAATATTTTGTCAATAATCTAGCCTTGACAATAAAAAGCTATTCATCACATACAAAGTTTAGCTGTCAAGGACAGGGAAAGTGCAGTAGTGCTGCAAATGACAAAGCCCCATATATTCTAGAGAGAAATTCATCTAGTAGCAAAAATACATCTTATAAAGAAAGAAATACGAGCAGCAGAAGCTATGCCAAAGGGCAAACTGAAATAAACAACTGAATGTAAATATTACATTTTCACTAAATGGTAGAGTGAGAAGTTGAGACTTTTTGGAGGAGGGAACATGGATTATGATCTTTCCAATATTTTATTCATCTTGTTTATATTAATGGTTTTACGTGGGCATCTATGTGTGGGAGAGGATGCATCTATCTTTTATGATTTTGAGTCCTTTTTCCCCATTATAAGTAGAATGCCATTTTCCCCAAAAATTCTTTAATTGTTAAACATTTACTACATACCTACCTCATTAGCTTTAAGCAACCAACAGCATATTCTCTTACATACTGGTCTGGATAATTGAAATCTAATAACTCTAATGCTTCTCTAGGAGGCAGTTTTGTCCATATCTGAAGAAGAGCCTGGAGCTGTTTTGAAAAAAAAAAAATGAATATCTGATTAGTTACTAGTAGAATAATTTGAGAAAGAAGAGATGGACAGATTTTCCTGAGGATAAAATGTTCACAGCTATATGAGAGATCCGTCTGAAAACAAATACCCACAATTTTGGGGAAATAGATACATTTCTTAGTGCATGTGCACACGTACGCACCGACATACAGATGCATTCATACACATCCTTCCAAGATACTTTAAAGCACATTTCTAAAGGTTTTATTTTCTGAAATCTTAGTTTTTCAGTAACTGTAAAAATAACAAACAAACAACCCCCCCCCCCACACACACACACTCAAAACTGAATTTTTCTAAGTGACTGAATTATTATTGCAATATATGTTTGTGGAAATTTTCACCCAAATACAAACATTTTGATAACATTTTTTCCCCACCAAGTTGTACAATAATGGCTACCTAGGTCCACCACTAACTTGGGTCAAATTCTGTCCTGATTTATGATCCATGTAATCTCACTGAATTTAGAAGATCCTGAAAAGGGTGTGAACAACAACGACACTATTCAAATATTCATGCTATGACAGTCCCAGAGAAGAAAGTCAGGTTTTTAAACACTAAGGTTACTCTTTCAGCAATCAAGACTGATGGCAGAAATTTCAATTTGTAAACTTCAGAAAAATTTAAAACAATAAATACTATCTGGAATATGACTTTTTCCCCCATAGAAATATACATTCAATATCCTTGCTTTATTAGCTATTCAGCTCATAGCTACAGCTAGGACTATCCAGCAATACTTCTTGTATCAGAGAGCAGTACAAATATGGGGAGCCAAAATACTACAAACAATGGTGCTATAATGCTAAAAATGCTGAAGCTGCTGCGTATCAACAGAAGGTGCTGAAACTAACCAGAATCCTTGAACACTGAAAAACAAGACACCTAAAGAACGGTGTCAGAACATTAGAATCAGCATTTTGTCTGTGAGGGTGGTGGTCCTCATTTCAAATCATCAAAAATGCATGTTGAAGGTGATAAAATAAATCCAGTTCAGTTGCTGAAACACTGCAGCTGAAGGCTGATCTCAGTCAAAGCTACAAACATGCGGTACTTCTTAAAATTCAAGTAATTTTTGGATGCTCCAAATTAGACAGGTAATTTGAAAATGCTGGACTACAGGAACCAAATCTGTGCTGAAGTTCAACTGAAAATATGTGATTCTTAATACGCTGATTCCACCAGCATTAGACTGTTAAAATTAAAGACAGAGGTTATTAAACCAGTAAATGTTAAGTGATATGACCTTAGAGGAAGTAAGAGCTAAATGACCTGTGAAAGAGCCAAGAAAATTCCAAAAATACAGATCACTCTTGTTTACATTCTTTCACTGAATCTTTATTAAGAGGGAAGTGCAGGCCAAGTAGCTTGATGTCCCAAACGGGTACCTCCTGATCAAAATGTGAAGGTTAAAGGACATTAGTTGTACTTGTTATATTTGGACCAACATTGCCCCCTCCCTTTTTTTAAACACATAAAAGACCCCTCCATCTGCCAAACAGTTTGGACAATGGGAAAGTTTCTTTGAACATTTGTCAAACTTTTCATTAATAAGGACACTCCCTCTCTCTACTGAAGTACTTCTTCATTAAAATATTCCTAAAGTAGTTAACATTTTTCTCTCCTATATTAACTGTAATAAGAAGAATAAAATGACAACTCAGTACCTGAAAAGTAACAGCTTATGTAGTCATGCCTGTATTATTAAGGATCTGGTGTTTGTGATGAGAATACCAGGGGCTGTTACACCAGGAGGTGAGGAATCTCAACTTTAAATACTAATGTGATTCTAAAAGAACTATAAGAAACAAGGGGTGAAAGCTGACCTTTAATTATATAGGTTTGGAATTCCACCTCCCCACTGCCCAATCTGTCAAGGAGCAGACATGGGAAGACTCTACTTTTGGAAGACTTATCACACTCAGCAATACAATTCAAACTAGTTTAATATTTTTATTTTTGGTCATTTAAAATGTCTCAAAGTGTCCAATTTATCCATCTTCCTTCTCTCTGTTCCCAGCTGTTAAAGGTGCCACTCCAGAGATTACAGAGGAGTCAGTTTGGATAATCTGCTTCATAAGGCTCAGGGGTCTCTTCAGGTGTTTGAAGAGAATGTGTGGCCTCTCTCACCAAGTTCTGCTATCCTGCCTGAAGAACTTTGCTAGTGACAAGATATCACAGCAACAAAGAAGGTAAGGATGTACAGAAACTTATTCTAGATAACTGTTCCAATTGTAGCAGTTGCAATAATATGGTATGTAAGAACAAATTACCTTATTTCCAGAAAATTGATATGGCTTTATAACATTTGCAATTTCTAAAAAAAAATTAAAAAATCTAAAATAAGATATCCTGCACACAATTTCTCAAGAAAGACTCATTTCTGACTGCAAATGGCAAAAGGAAAGAACAGAAAAGCAGTCAAGAAAAGTGATGAAAACAGCAGCTGTTTTTAATCTTTACACCAGGTGTCAGCCTCTCTGTGCAACTGGTGTGATTAAAGGATCTAGTACAAGAAATTAATGTACGTTGCTTTTTTCAGTTAATTAGTCAATGCTGTCAGGATCCCAAACTCAATTCAGGCGATTAAGTAGTTTGACAATGCCTTAAAAACAAAAGAAAAGAAAAGAAAAACAACAAGCTGGGAATTCAGTCATGAATTTCTGTGTCATAGCAGTATTGTTTTAAAATCAAGGGGAGGATATGTGGCTTATTTAGGTATTTTACCAGTGTTTATAACCTTTACTTTTTCCCCAAATCTATCTTCTACAACTTCTGTGGATAAACTTTGGCAGCTATAAGCAACAAAGCTACAAATGGTTATTCAGATAAGAATACATTTTAAATGCATTAAGTGCAATATATGCAAACAATAAAGGCGAAAGTGACTGAGTACAGAGGGACCACACAAATTACTGTACGTTACATAATGGCTTATGCCATTAATTAATGCCTTATGCAGTGCTCAAGACCTTAGGCAGCACTTCTCCTCAGGGTCTCCTACTTCCAAATGAAACAGGGGTCCTACACAAGCAGCAGTTTTACTTATCCTGCAAAACTGCATTATATATTTTCTTCCCCAGAACTAAAAACATTTTTTTCCCCGATTTTCATGAGATGAAGTTCCCAACCTACAGGTTTGGAACCACAAGGAGATATTAAATATACAAACATGAACACTATACCGTATAACTTCTGGAACCAAAAAAGAGGTTATAAAATTCCTCGCTCCATTTCTTTTCTATTCTGTTTAACTCTGCACTCTTCCTCCGTGTGAGAAGATTCAGGCAGGAGAGTCCACACTTAATGTGCGCCAAGGAGCCCAGCTCTGTAGGGACTTGCAGTGTCCCAACAGAAAGGATGGCATGGATGCAGGGAAAAGGAAAAAAAAACCCAAACAAACCACAACAGCAGCCACTTAGCACTGTGGATCAGAACAACACATCTTCAGAGAATTCTCCTACAGGCACAGAACGTGTCTAGAGAAAAAGGAACTAATTTCCTACTTCATGGAACAGCTCCCCATTAGCCAAGCCTAACTTAGAACTGGAATGTGGAAAGCATTTCCTCCTTATTTCTTAATCACCATATAAGCACTTAGAATAATATTATGGAGTTGTAGGTTATACATATTTCACAACAAAGAATTCCCCTGAAAACACTTCCTGTTGTGAATAACTTTAGGAATATGAGTAATCCCACCAAATTCAACAGGATTACTCAGGTACATAAGAGCTTATAGGAAAAAACAACAACATTTGAAACACTTTAACATAAAATATTACATTTGACACTAGTACAGATTGTTGCTGCCCAAAGATTTTACTCAAATGTCAAAGTGTCTCCCTCTGTACATCTGCAAATAGAAATACAACAGTCTTTCTGGACAACACTCTACGATACATCATCATACATCATATATACTGGCTTTTTACTTGCTAAGCCTTTCAAATAAAATATGTAAAGAGAATTTTAAAGGTGCCATAAATACTATTTTATCTATTTTCTCTTAATGTTCAAATCAAAAGAAAATTCTATATACTTGTCAAGCAATTCATCTGTATTCCCTACAATTGTTTGGTTACTATTGGTGAAGCAATCGCAAATTCCTTATGAGGTAATTAAAAAGCCCTCTTGCTTAATGTCTCATTTCTGTAGGTAAATAAATATCTGTTTATAGTCTTAACTTTATAAGTAAAAATAAAAACAAATGAATAGTAGACACAAAAACATACTGAAATGAATAAACCGTGTGAGAAGATTTGTGCATGCAAAGGAATGCTAGTGGGTGAAGAATGAGTGGGTGAGTCATATGACTAGCCTGGCATTCACTGCTGAAACAACTGAACTGCAAAGTGAAGGATGAAATTTAAAGTATTTTAATAGCTCTAAGGGTAATGTAAGGCCTGCTGGTAACCAGGTTCTAACAGAAGCTAGAGGGTTTTTCATCATGGTTCATAGACTCTCCACAGTCTCTGCTACTCTACATCTTGCAGGGAAATTAAGGGCACTGAAAGAGGGTTGAGGGGGTGGGGAAGAACAGCACTTTACCAGAAGAGAAACTGTGGTCAGTTTGACTTGGCTCCCCAGCATCTGTCTAGAATTCGGGGGTGGGAAAAATGTGGCCGGCAGGCCGGATGCAGCCTGCCAGGCCATTCTATCCAGCCCGCGGGGCCCCTAAAAAATTAATATTTATCTGCCCCGGCTGCCTGTCATGCAGCCCTCGATGGCTTGCCAAACTCAGTAAACGGCCCTCTGCCTGAAATAATTGCCCACCCCAGTCTAGATAGTGCGCGGATTGAATCAGCTATTAGATATAAGGACCAAAAAGCCCCGCTGAAGTGCATGATTTATACAGATGCTGGGCGAGCTGGGTCAAACTGACTGGGTTCCTCTTCTGGGCATGTAGAGGCATGCTGAGCTGAAAGTAAAAAGCGTCTTTTTGGTTTTTTCCACGTCTGTCAGTGACCTAAGTTTCTGTCTGGACTGCTCATCTAAAGGATCACATGATGAACAAAGTAGGCATGAGTCTGAGTCTTAATAAGTCTTCATGTAACAGTCCCCAAAAAGGTTTGCTAGTAACTGGAGTAATACCTGATGTTCAAACTGTAGTAATGGGAATACACACATACACAGAGTGAGAACTGTTAATGGCTAGTTACAACTGAGAGTTGCAACTAGTTTAAACATCTGAAAAGCAAAATGCTTCTTTTGCAAAATGACTAGTGTGGGAGGGGAGGTACAAGCCCCTCTCCCAACATGTCCCGGGACCCCGCCCAACGAACACCGATACTCATGGCAGGGACCAGGATGAGTGGCAGCTGTGGAGAAACACTGATGCAGGCTCAGCAGTTCCGCAGCTGCCTGAACCTGTGGATCGGCGAGCCCCATGGGTGGGCCAGGAAGCAGTGCGGGAGGTCAAAAAGGCAGCTGGGGAGAGACCCAGCTGCCCAGAGAAGGAAAGACCAGATGCCGGAGGACAGCAGCGGATGACGGAGCTGGGCAGAGAAGAACAGAATGCCAGCGGGGAGAGACTGGATGCTGGCAGAGGGAGGCGAACGGTGGAGCTGGGTGCCAAGGAGCGGAACGCCAGCAGGGAGAGGCAGGCAGCGGAGCCTGGTAAGAAAGGTGAAGCAGGGCACGGGACGAGAAGACCCAGTGCTGGCCAGAGAAGCCCGGTGGGAAAGCCCACAGGTCTGGGCTCAGGTTGCCAAAGTTTGCCAGAAGGTCATGGCAGGGAGAAGAAGATCGTCCTCACGATCCTGAGCAAAGACCAGGCTGCTCCAGAGAGTGCAGGTACCATGGCGGGGAAGGCCAACAAGTGATGGCAAAACACTGTGGGCAGCCTGGTGAAGAGGGAGGAGCAGGTGGCGACTGGCCCAGAGCCCGGCAGCGAAGGGGCAAGTTCCACCAGATGGTGAAATCAGGAGTGATTGACTCCTAATCTGTTGGTTCCTGGGAAGAGTACTCGGAGAGACAGACAAAATTCCTTCTCCTGTCCCAGGGAAGCAGAGGGGTCCTGGGGTCAGAGTCCCAGCAGACACCGAATGTCTTCTCTTTTATTTAGTGTCTTCTAAGTTATCGTTCACCCCAGGCTGGGGCACGTTTAGTTTCCCCGAAGGTGAGCCCAAAGACAAGGGATCAATTCGGGAGAGATTAACAGCTGAACAGACCCGACCCCGGTCGAGGCGGGCCTCTCGGGTGAGAAGATATCATCCCAGAGAAGGTTACAGGGAGCAGAGTCCTCCCAGGCTTTGGATGTGGTAAGGGTTGGGTAAAGGGGAGGTTTGGAGACCCACAAAAAAAAGACCAGGGTCACAACCCCTCTGAGACCACCAACAGTGAACTGCCTCCCCAATCAATCAACATCCAAGTTGCAGCAGGTGAGTAGAGGCAGCGCTTGGAATCATCTGGGTGGCCTTGGGGTGCGGTCTTACCCTGACGTCGCTAGGGAGGAAGGCACCGACCAGAAGAGGGCCGAAGCCTTACAGCACCTACCACTGACAACTAGTATTAAAGAACTTCATTACAATATTCCCAAAGTTTATTCCACAGATTGTCATACCAAGATGGTATTTGTTTCTATCTCTAAGAATCATATGGCATTCGATGAACAGTTCTAGCAACAGTAAGACTGAAATTAAAGCAAGCAGATGTACTGCAGCAAGTATCTGGTTCTCTGTCATACTGGGTGTTGGGTTTGTTAAAGCTCTGTGAGATTTTGGTTTATCTACTGAATATGCATTAAACTAGGCAAATTTCAAACAGAAATATAAAAAGACATTATTTTTTGTTGCATTTATGGTTTCAAGTCAGTTTATAAATTAAGAACATTATAACCATGAAAAATATTTTTTTCTGTGCAAAAGTCACAAACAATATTGATCAACATTTTAGGAATAAAAATGGTCTTGATTACTTGATAACACTATAAGGGAAAATTTCACTTCATAAGTGCCTTAGGAAAATAAACATTTCACTAAAAAATCTGAATTATAAAGTCATCAGCTGATCTTCAGAATCACAAAAGACACAGCAGCTGTTATCAGGTCTACTAAGTACATAGTCCACTAATAATGGCATAACAATTTTTGTCCTTTCCCTTGTTAAAGAAAACTGAAAAAGATTCAAAAGTTACCATCCAAGAAGTTCCTACCTTTTCTCAAGAAGTTGTGCAAAACTTAGATTCTATGTAGAATGTTGTTGGAAAAATGTAAATTTGCCGCTTACAACAAACAAAAGAGGGTTTCCTATACAGCACCTTGTGGCATTCTCATTCTACAAATTTACTTTAGTTAAATTGCAGCAACATGAAACTTGAATACCCTCATTATTTCTACAGCAGCTTTATGAAAGTTTACTCAAGTAAGTTGCCTCACAAAAGGAAAAGACAAGTTACTTTGTAAAACTAATGTGCACCTTAGATATTTTATGCAAAAGTCAATTGTTCACTTTATTAGCTACCAATTAATTTCTTTGAGCAATTAGTTTTAGAAAGGTTTAACCAAACAAATAAACATAAAGGAATCTGAATCCAATAATTTAGCCTTGCAGGTTCAATCCAAGCCCTGAGTTGGTAAATGCTTATATACGTATACATACTAAATCTGCACAGGGGAATAAAACACCAAAAATTAATTGGGTCAGTTTTATTTGTTTCCAATTTTCTATGGACTGTTCAGTTGTCATTTAGAAATAAATTTGGAGTCTTCTAGTTTAGAGGAACTTTAAGCACATTCCTTCCCCAGTATTTTTTAGAGAAGAAATTCTGATGACCTGTTCTTAATGCTTATCATTTTAACTAAAAAGTTAACATGCCTCTGCAAAATTTATTAAACACTTAATTTTATACAAAGCTTAGCAAAACACTTCCAGTATTTGCATGAACAGGAATTTTTTTCCTCATGATTTCTCCCTAGTATTTTTAGACTGCCTCTCTCATTCACCTCACCTGAGCAACATCTTCAAGTTTGTTCCATTTTACAGAAAGCAGCAATTTTGGCAATGATTGTGGAAAATTTTCACGGCAGTCATAGCGCAATGTCCAAATAAGATCCATTTCATTTTCACAGAGTTGAGACAAGGGGTCCCTTTCCATGATTTCTTTTAGCACAACATAGAACTTCTTGCCACCTCGACCCTAGGAAAATACAAGTTAGTTATGTAACTTCAAGAATCATCAAACACATTATAAAAGACAATGACTTGTCTGATCTAATACCCTATGTTAAATCTACACCAGGAGGGGAAAAGAGAGAAAGGCTCATTTTTTAAAGTATAAGGAAACATTTCTTAGTCTAGTAATGGAAGGAGACATCTAGACAAAAGGTCTAGAAATTGATTCAAAATTCAATTTACAAAAATGTACTTGGAAAAAGTCATTGAACTTCAGTGTTAATGACACTAGATGGCAATCTTGCTGTTCTTAGCTCAGTCTTGTTCAGGGAGCACCTATTTTTCTTTTGTTTTCAAACAAATAAATTTTATGTGCACAGATAGGTTATACGCAAGTAAAAATTAAAAGTCAAGGATGCACTTCCAACCATAACAGAAAGGAAACAGTTTTTGTAAATGCTAATACAGGCATCACTTAAATTGCTAAAACTTGTTTTATTCTGAGAATATCTTTTTTTCCATTTTATATTGATAGTTAACACAATTTTGATTTCTGGAAGGTCAAAGTTAGTTTTACTTTTAATAGGTTTAATACCGAATTTTCTATTTTAAAAAGAATGTGATCATTAATCCCCCTTGTTCAGTAGAAGCACCCTTACAATGCACGTTACAAGGAAAGAAATTAAGCTGAGAAAATGTTTCTATCAATTTAAAATGCAAAACAAGGTGTAATGAAATATTATAGAAGCTACTGCTTCTTGATACAACTGACCTGTATGGGTATGGACAAGGGTTACATTTATTTTAGAAAAAATGCCTTTTTCCCAGTTCAAATAGGGAGCATAACAGCATTCAAGCATTTTGTGGAGGAAAGATCTAGCAGTTCCGCAACAGGACTGATAGCTTTTTAAACAATGTTGCTGTTTCGTATCACCATGTGTAACATTTGCTCAGTTACATGGGGTACAAGGAGGTTCCCTATGGAGGGAAGTCATTCCTAATAGCCCTCCAAAGGGAGGGAGAATGGCTGGTTCCTTGACAGCCTGCTCAGTGGTGAGCTGATGAGGAGTCCTGCGGTGGTGACCCAGCTGCTGCAATGAGAGAGACACAGGGCAGAGCAAGCAGCAGTGCCACTGCCCTCCAGTCCCTTGTATAGTCTCAGGTCTCCCTGGGACCATGCAAGGGGTGGGAAGCATTCTTCTGCAGCTTGATCCATTCTGGGTCTCCCCAGGACAGCTCAAACAGTGGCACCACTGTCCCATGCTCCTTGCACAGTCCCTGGAATTCCCAGGAAACCTCCAACAACCAAGTACACCGAACAGTGCCACGACCTACTTTTACCTTTAAATTTGTAGGCCATCAGAAACCAAAGTAAACATTTTTATTAGGAAGAATCCATAAAAAGTAAGCTACAGTTGTCTTTTTTTAAACATCTCTTGACAACTCTGTCAACTCCAGCCTAATTACTGCCTAGTTAGATGATATGAAGAAAAGACTTAACTCCTAAAAGTGGTAATCTTTATACAAAAAAAAAAAAAAGAAAAAATGAAACACATGCACTAAAGATTCTGAATTTCTTGAGTTTGCATATATACTCCGTGTTATAATAATATAAAGTGACAGAAAAGTAACCTTTCATTTAAATATAATTTTCTTAAAAGAGACTTTGGGCTTGGATACTTACTGCCATAGCACTGTCACTGCTTTTTGCAATTTCAGCTGCCTTTTCAAGTATCTGTAAAAGGATAACAGTATAAGGATTAGGTTTAAATAAAAAAATCTGACCGCATTATGAGGAAATGTTGCAAAAGGAAAGCAATGAAGTGGCATTTGCTGTGTCATTTATATAACTAGGAATCTGGTTAAGTATTTATTCATTCTTAATATTGTATCTGATTTTAGGGCATATGTCCTAACAAGTATTATTCCTCTCCAATAAAAATGTGTTTTTTATTGACAGCTGATAAAACAAATTCTTCTATAAAACAGAATAGTATTCACAAACACGTGTACTACGTAACAGCTGTGTGCTTGGGGAATGCAAATACCAGTGCAACGTATCACAAACAATATTGACCTAAAAACCCCTTATTTTTCAAGCAATTTGAAGGTAACAATCTGTGTAGATTTAGATATCTTTTATTAGACCAACTTAAATAGCTGGGGAAAAAAATGTAGGCAAGCTTTTGGGTTTAAAAACCTTTCGTCAAACTGAGGAAGTCTCTGCAGCTGTTGTGGGCTCTTCTTGGATGGAATGAATAGTAAAGAATCAAGAGGCTGGGCTGGTATTTTTCCAACTATTTAAGTTGGTCTAATAAAAGAGATCAGATTCAGCCAAAGAACCTTGTCTGCTTATGTCCTTAGACCAGGGGCAGGCAATTATTTTGGGTGGAGGGCCGCTTACTGAGTTTTGGGAAGCCATCTAGGGCTGCATGACAGGCAGCCAGGGGCAGATAAATATTAATTTTCTAAACTTTTTAGGGGACCCATGGGCCAGATAGAATGGCCTGGCAGGCCGCATCCAGCCCGCAGGCTGCATTTTGTGAACCCCTGCCTTAGGCCAACATGGCTACAACCTACACCCCTGTGTAGATTCAGGTAATTTGGTGCCAAAGACTCTGATACAGAGCATGAAAGTACAGAGTTCTCCCCTTTCTCTTTAAACATCACATGTCAATTTAATTCTTGGAAAGCTTTTAAGTTATATCCTTAGAAACTGCTGTCAAATATCTACCCATAAAACACATCTTCAGCCATGTTGACTGTCATTCACTGCATGGTTGCTCCTGACCTGATGAGTAGTTCTAGTCCAAGCCCCTTCATTCCTTGTTGGATGTGCTTGAATTGTCAGTATTGATGTCAATTATAACCCTGTTGTGGTGAGGTATTCTAATTTAGATAGTTGCCACACCGAAAAAGATTAAGATTTTTAACCAGGTTTTACAGTCCCCTGAATGTACAGAACATGTAGTAGCTGACGATGCTGACCGGATTTGAATCAATAGCATTTATCCTTTTACCAGTACTCTGAGCCATCCAGTGCACATATACCAACAGTACTTTCACAAGTTGTATCAAGAAAGTGTTACTGTGAAAAAAGCAGCCATGAGCATAGAGCTGGAAAGGATTTTCTGGGTCAGTCCCCTGACGTAGTAGGCGTAGTAGGGGCAAAAATGCCTATTAAAAGGCTGTTCCAAAAATCTCACCCTTCCTTTAGTTAGAAACCTCTTCTAACTCCAACCTACATTTACTGCTGAACAGTTTATACTTATTTTTTTTTATGCCAACGTTATCCTTCAATTTAAAAACTTCTCTCTACAGTTTGGTGTTCATCCATCTTTCCCTGCTGATGTGCTTGTGGTAATCCTATCCTTCTCTCAGCA